CAATAAATGAATTAAATTCAAGTATAATGAGAATAAGTAACTGGAAATATTCAATGACACTATATAAAAAGAATTAAATAAAAATCATGATAAAATATAAATAATAAATAAAAAGAATAAAACTAATCTAATAAATGATATGATTATTGTTTCATATCACAATAATAATGGAGATAAATAAAGAAATAAAATAATTATAAAGAAATAACGAATAGAATAAGAGAATCGAGAAAATAAGAAATGTTAAAATAAATTGAATTATAAATTGAAACAAATTAAATTATAAATAATGAAAGTATTAAACTAATTAAAGAACTGAAATTTGAAAATAATAATATAAAAAGAAGTTAAAAATATTGTTATTAAAAACATGATGAATGTCATGGAATATTAACTCTATCATAAACAAAAATACACTTTAGAACTACTAAAAAACAACAAGAGATTGGACTAACTTCTCTAGAACAAAAAAAACAATAGAAACGAGTTCTATTAACGCTTAGTTCATTGCTTTTTATTGTCATAATTCACTAATTGGTTTTATTCTTTTTTTAGACTATTGCTATATATCACATTTTTTATTTTGTTATTTATCTCATTTCTTTAATACAAAAACAAATTTAACTCTTGCTTCATTTCGGTTTTGTTCTGAATTGTCATTGAATTATTATTGAACGTAAAATGGACTTTCTTTGGGGATGGAGAAAATCAAAACCAATAATCCAGTGTAATGTCAATAAGAAAAGGACCGGAAGATAAAAGTTACTTTATTCTTTATAACAACAAGCTATTTAAAATTACTTACACAAAATTGGAGAAACGTCTATTTTTTTTTTTATTTTCAATAAATAACATCCAACCCACAACTTTTTATGAGAGGTTCGTTAGTTGCGTCATAAATTTTTTTCAATGAGCTTTTCTTAAAACCCATGAATGGAACATAATTAAAGTTAAAATGCTGGCAGTTTTTAAGATTTTTCGATTGATTTTCACTACACTTGCTTTAGTTTCAAAGTTGTTCATACAAAAATAGACTAAGCGAAAACAAAGAATATTAAAGCAGCGGTTTTGTTAGAACTTCTTTGAGTGAATTAACTTTATAATACAATGCACTCTCAAGAAGATATTAATATATTTCCCAAACATGGAGACCATCTCAAATATAAAGAGAAGCATCAGTATATGAGAACCTTACAATCAATGCTTCAATGTGTTTTACTAACTTTTTTATCTAAAAAATGTGATATAGTTATAGGAAGACCTCATAGGAAATCTCGTATAACTCAACAATTCATAAAAGTAAAGAGATTTAATTTCAAAGATGACATCATTGATGTTCAAAATTATATTAGAATGAGATGTAATGAATTAGTTCTTCTTGAAAATAAGAAAGGTATTTCTGAAAAAACTGCTCGAAGAAGATGTCAAATGATGAAACGTCAAGAAGTTTTACATCTAACAATGGACTTACTTTCATTTTATGGAGTTTTTGTTACTATTGAAACTGAAGAAGGAGAAGGTATTGATGGAAGAATTGAAGTTTTTAATAATAAGAAAATAATTATTAACAGAGATTCTATTGAAAAAATTGGCACTTTAATATCTTCTTTCATCTCTGATTTACTTCAAACATCAAATGAAATAATTCTAAGATGTGTTGATATCAAAAATTATTTGAAAGTAAATGGAATTTCTTCTGAACTATTCGAAAATATTTAATTTATGTGTTTAATTCATTATCTAACACTTGTTCAATACTTTTTTATGTCATATTTGTTCATTTCCTTAAATAAACAATTTTTAAAAGTGTTAGAATCAATATTCGTTTTTTCTTTTTATTTTTCTTTCTCTGAATAGTTTGACTGACACCTCAGTCTATCTTTGTCTAACAACTTATTTTGATTGTATAATCTTTATATATTATAAACAAATAGAACCATTGGAAACTCGTTTCACTCTTCTGCATAGAATTTTCCAGTGTATTTATAATTATGTATTATTCATAAGACACAAAAAACAAAACATTCTATATTCTAATTTATTTTTAGTTAGACTTCTAAAAAAAGAGAAGAACTTAATACTTCACAAATTAAAATAGAATGCCAAA